GGGGCTTCAGGAATCCAGGGAAGATGCTGGGGAAAGGCCAGGCCATGCCTCTTCCCAGGGCATTCCTGCCACACACCTGGACCCTCACCCCTTGTGTCACCTGGCCTCAGCCACCTGGGTCCCTGCAGCACCCCACCCAGGAAGCTGACTCCAGGGAAGTTGACTCCAGTGAAGCCTGGACATGCCCAACTTGACACGGCCAAGCCAAGCGCAGCAGCTGCTGCGTCCCCAAGCGCCATGTGCTCCCAGAGGGCTGCGGACCCCACGCACGCCCTGCTCTGTCCCTTCACCTAGGGGCCCCACGCAGCAGCACACTGGTCCCCAAGATAATAGTCACAATATGCTGAGAACACCTGGTAACAGTCACTAAGCCCAGGGCATACTGTTGCTCTGATTCACAGATAAGACACCTGAGGCTTAGAGAGGGAGGCATCTGGTCCATTTTTGAGCACTAGGACTCAAACCCACATCCTCTCTGCTCCAGTCCCTTTCCCAGGCCCAGGACAGCTCAGGCACAGAGAAGTACGTCTCCAACCCCGTCCAAATTGCCTCCAAGACTCAGCCCCATTCAGGCCAGACCTCCAAGGAAGTGCCAAAATAGGAAAGGAACCGAGATTAGAGAGTTTCCCCAGGAAACAACTCAGGCCCAGCCCCTGTGACCAGATAAACTTGGGGGCTCCCACCCCCACCCAGAAGTGGCTGGGCCTCCACACAGAGCCCCTCACTAGCGCCCTGAAGGCGCAGAGGCAACTGCAGGCTGAGGTTGGATCTGGCTCTGTCCCCTTCTTGGCTGGGTGAGCCAGGGGGTCAGGGCCCCACTCGCCTCACTTTGGCCTCGGTTTTCCCATCTGTAAAATGGGTGCGTAGTGCGAGGTGGTCAGAGCGCTTGGCATGACCCTGGCACGTGGTTTCCGGGAGGAGCAGGCAGCACACAAGGTGCTGTGCTTGCCTGGTCTAAGGTGCCTGTCAGGGCTGCCAGGGACAAACAGGAAACAGATGAAAATAACTCAGCAGGAAGCCAGGCTGTCAGTCTTGTGGAGAAAACGGAACTGCCATCCCACAGGCTGCTCACTCCTGCAGCTTACACGCTGTCCTGCCCCTTGTTCCTTCTGACTCTCTCCATCAGACCTCATCCTGCTTCTAGCTTATTTCGGCCCAACACACAAATCTGACTTTGTCCTACTTCTGTTCACCTACTTTGTAACACCTTCTGTGGCTCCCCACTGCCCTCAGGATAGCATCCAAAATCCTTCTGCCTGATATCTCCATACCTTCAGCTTCAACATTTCATGTACCATCAACACCCAAATCTTGTTCCCCCAAATAAAATTCCATTGCATGTTTCTGAGCCTGTGTACATCACGTTTCCTCTGCCTCAATGCCCTTCTCTCCTAGTTGCCACCAAACTCCTACATATCCCTCAAAGCCTTAGCTACAGTGGTTTCCCTCACAAAGCCCTCCCTGTGACCCCCTTCTAAGCTTCTCCAAGTCCTTTCCTCTATCCTGCCTTGACCCCACAGAGTTTGGGATATATGTATCCACCTTGGCCTTCCACCCAGGCCTCAGTGTCCCTGCTGGCTCTCACCATCATGTAGAACATACGCCTTGAGCTTCTCCAGGCCCTCAGCAAAGCGGGCAACATCAACCAGGAGGTGGGAGATGTCCTCTACATCGGGGCAGGGCCCCTCGATGGGTGGTTCAGCGGGGCTGGCTGCTGTCAGTGGGCTTCGGTGGCCTCGGCCTAGTGTCCAGGAACTGGTGCCAGACAGTGGGAAGCCGGCAGCACTGGCATGGCGGCTCAGGCTCGTAGGCCTCTTGAGCGTGCCTGTGGCCTTGGCGCTGGAGGCCATACTCAGTGGCTCCAGGCTGGGTCCTTGGTACAGAGCATCGGCCCCATCTTTCCTGGGCAGCTCCTGGGGGTCGGGGATAAGGCAGGTGCTCTGGCCCAGGTACTACCTCAGTTTCCCCAGAAGTGAAATGGGGCTCTGGGGGGGTCCTCAGCCTCACCTCATGGGGGTCAAAGGCCGGAGGTCAGAGGGCTGAGATTTGGGGCCATGCCCCTCCCACACCTGTTACCCAACATCCTCTTCCCCAGAGATTTCACAAACAACGTCTGCCCAAACCACAGCCAGGGGCGGGGCCTGCAGGGGTGCGGGCACCCCACTTCCTGGTGGGGGAGGGAGGGCCAGAAGAGGGCCCTGGGCCCTGTGGCCCACCTCAGGCTGCAGCAGACCTATCTAAACCCTGGTAAAGACACCTCTGTCAATTCTTACACCCTAAGGGTCCTGGAGATCCCTGAGTCCCACAGACACTCCCAAACTGTGTACAACCCTTGGGCCCTGGAGGCCCTACACCCAGTGATCCTGTTAGATTCTCTGCTGTGTTCTAAACCCTCTGCCCAATGATGTGCCATAGGTCTAATGTCCAATGGCACCGGAGCCCCCAATTTCCCTGAGTCCCACCCTACAGAGTCCACAACCAAATGTTGCCCCCACCCTGGCACCGCCACCCCACTCCCTGGGTCCTGCAGCCAGCCCTGGACCAGACGAGGGGAGGCAGCGGCCATCCCAAAAGACTCCTACCATGAGTTGAATGCCAGGGTCCTGGCTGATCCTGCGTGGCCCCTGCAGTCCCGCCTGGCGGGGGCTGTAACTGGCGTGAGCTCCCCACCTTAGGCCCAGCATGTTGCTGCTGGGCCCCTGCCCTGCCACCCAAGCAGAGGGCACACCCTGTCCCCTCCAAGGTCTCCACCCGCTTCTCCACTTAGAGGCTAACTCACCCCTGAGGGCTGTGGGCTGGGGCTTCCCGCCCGGTTCTTTTTCGAGATAGAAGGGGTTTTCATGAGTTCGCGCTTCTTCCTGGAGAACATGGTGGGGCCAGCAGAGCAGCCCAGGCAGGCAGGCTGTGGTAGAGCAGGCAGGGGTGTCTCTGCGCTGCAGCTCGGGAGCTGACCACCTCAGGACCACATAGCCACTAGCCACCCCCTCCCCAGCTGTCAGGCCCACGTGACAGGCCCAGCCCTCATTGGCGGGCCCTCCCCCCACAGGAAAAGGCCTCCGGAGGTGGTGACGCAGACCCACCCCCTCCACCCTCCCAGGCCTCAGCCTGCCCCTCCACAGAGTGGGCTTGAAGGTGGGGTCCCAGGCCCCGCCCCCAGCCCCAGCCCTGCCTCCAACCTCCACTTTCAAGAGCTGGGCATGTACATTGGACTGGGCGCCCCCTCCTGGCACCAGCGGGCACAGAGAAGCACACAGACGCTGATCCTCACTTAGACACACCCAGATGTATGAACACCCACAGGGACACACACAGGGGCATGAACACCCACAGAATCACTGACAACCGGCAGGATGAAACGGGAATACAAACACATGAGCACACCCTGGCCACTTTGGCACAGCGGTTAGAGCGTCTGCCGGCAGACCTAAGGGTCCAGGGTTCTATTTCCTGTCAAGGGCACCTACCTAGGTTACAGGTTCAACCCTCACCCGAGTCAGGGTCCTGCAGGAGGCAACCAATCAATGTGCCTCTCTCACATCAATGTTTCTCTCTCTCTCTCCCTTCCACTCTATCTTTAAAAAAAAAAAAAATCAGTGGAAAATATCCTTGGGTGAGGATTACAAACAAAAAAACCACGGGCCCAGCTGGTGTGGCTCAGTGGTTGAGCGCCGACCCATGCACCAGGAGGTCGCTGATTCGATTTCCGGTCAGGGCACATGCCCAGGTTGTGGGCCTGATCCCCCATGGGGGCATGCAGGAGGTGGCCAATTGGTGTTCTCTCTATCCATCTCTCTTCCTCTCTCTCTAAAATCAATAAAGAAAAAAATTTGCGTTTACTATGAAAACTGAATTTAAATAAAAAACTTTTATTAAATAAAGAACTTTACCTAAAAGTATTAGAGAAAAAAAAAAAAACATGGGCACAATGACATGGGAATACAAACACGTGGGCATGATGACATGCAGGTACACTGATATATGTGCACGATGACACGTGGGGACACTGAGCTGCAGGGACACTGATGCACGCACATGCTAGACTCCAAGAAGCTCTGCAGATGAAATGAATGACCTGAAGCTTTGAACTCAGACCTGGGACACAGATATCCTCCCTTCAGTCCCCCTGTCATCTCATTGGCCTCAGTTCATCTCCCTACGCCCATCTCCCACCCTACCTTCCAGGGACATACAGGCTGACCAAGGACATACTGGGCAGCAGAGCTGATAATACTCCTGAGGCCACCATGAACCTCCTCACATCCTGGTATCAGCCATGTGTACAGATCCCCTCCCCCATGACCACCTGTCCTCTTGGAGTCCTCCCACCCAGTCTGGGCCCTCCCCCATACACTTCCAGAGTCCCGCCCCCAAACCCCCAACCCCTTTACTCAACATCAACCCTCAGTGATCTCAGGTGAGAGGGGTGGATCTCCAGGGCACGGCATGCGGGCTGCAGACCCTTACGCCAAATCCAGCTCTCCAGGCCCAGCCTAGAAATTCCTTCTGCCCACCACTCATTGCTCTAGGAGCCAGGACCAGGTGGTTAAGGGCGGGCTGGCTAGCTGGAGGGATTCTGGCCTGGTTAGGAAGCCTGAAGTCCTAAGGTCCCAGCCACCCCCACTGGGCTCCTCTAACCTGCTCTAGACATTCCAAAGCCCTGGCCTCATGCCCATTTCGTGGCCAGGTACTCACTGGTACTGCCTTCAGGCACCAGGCCCACATGGGCACCTTGGCCCTGGGACTAGCGTCCAGGCTCTTATGAAGCCCATGCTTGCATGTAAACCCCCCCCCACTTCCCAGGCCTAGCAGAGGCCTTCACAACTGGGGGTCCAGTCTGCTGTAGCTGGGTTCTCATCTATGCCCTATGAATTGCATGTGTCCACAAACCTATGCATGCACACACTCAAGCTGGATCCAGATGCATGCACAGAGCCATCTGTGGACACACCTGCAGCCTGGCACACAGACACGCGTGCACACGGTTTCACAAAATAGCTTCTTTTTATTTCCTCCAGGAGAGCAGCCCCTCTGGGAGTCTGGGAGCAAGCTCCAGGCCCTCTGTCCTGCCTTTGTCACTCCCAGGGTCTCCCACCAGCCCCACAGACAAGGGAGGCTCACAGCACTGTCTCCGTCGTGCTGGGGTCATCCAAGAACCGGGTGATGAGTTTGGGGACCTGTGGGCCTAACCTAGGGTCCACCCCCACTCCTGTCTCCTGGTGATCCTCCTCAGCTTCATCCTTCCCCTGGTCCTCCGAGAAGTACAGGAATACCTAGGGGTGGGTAGCCCAAGGGAATAGGAGTTAGAACAACCTGAGCGCCCAGCCCCCAGCCCCACCTTTGCCCCCAGCCCCTCCCAGGCACTTCGGGCACCTCCTCCAGGGTGGTCTGGTTCACTGAGAAGTCCTCCACGCCGTGCTCTGCCCCGTGTGCTGCCAGCTCTCCAAAGACATGGGCTAGGGTGCAACGCCCTCCTGGTGGCAGCCGGAAGCGCATGCGACTCCCGTGAGCCTCCTGCAGCTCAGCCCCTGGGAATGCGGCTGCCACGAAAGCTGCCACTGGCTCAGACCTCCCCATGGGCACTCGCAGGGTCAGCGTGTGGCCAGCACCAAATCTGAGGGTGAAGGGGGGGTAGTGAAGGGGGGGTGGTGATGGAGTGGGGGGGTGGAGAGGGTGTTGGGGGTGAATGGGGTGGTGGTGAAGAAGGGGGGTGATGGTGAAGGAGGGTGGTGGTGGAAGGTGGTGGGGGAAGGGGGTGGTGGTGGAAGCGGGTGGTGGTGGAAGGTGGTGGGGGAAGGGGGTGGTGGTGGAAGCGGGTGGTGGTGGAAGGGGTGGTGGTGGAAGGGGTGGTGGTGGAAGGGGGTGGTGGTGGAAGGGGTGGTGGTGGAAGGGGGTGGTGGTGGAAGCGGGTGGTGGTGGAAGGTGGTGGGGGAAGGGGGTGGTGGTGAAGGGGGTGGTGGTGAAGGGGGTGGTGGTGAAGGGGGTGGTGGTGGAAGGGGGATGGTGAAGGGGTGGTGGTGGGAACGGGTGGTGGTGGAAGGGGGTGGTGGTGGAAGCGGGTGGTGGTGGAAGGGGGTGGTGAAGGGGTGGTGGGGGAAGGGGTGGTGGTGGAAGGGGGTGGGGGAAGGCGGTGGTGGTGGAAGGGGGTGGTGGTGAAGGGGGTGGTGGTGGAAGGGGTGGTGGTGAAGGGGGTGGTGGTGAAGGGGGTGGTGGTGGAAGGTGGTGGTGGAAGGGGGATGGTGAAGGGGTGGTGGTGGGAACGGGTGGTGGTGGAAGGGGTGGTGGTGGAAGGGGGTGGTGGTGGAAGCGGGTGGTGGTGGAAGGGGGTGGGGGAAGGGGGTGGTGGTGGAAGCGGGTGGTGGTGGAAGGGGGTGGTGGTGGAAGGGGTGGTGGTGAAGGTGGTGGTGGTGGAAGGTGGTGGTGGAAGGGGTGGTGGGGGAAGGGGGTGGTGGTGGAAGCGGGTGGTGGTGGAAGCTGGTGGGGGAAGGGGGTGGTGGTGGAAGCTGGTGGGGGAAGGGGGTGGTGGTGGAAGCGGGTGGTGGTGGAAGGTGGTGGGGGAAGGGGTGGTGGTGGAAGGGGATGGTGGTGGAAGGGGTGGTGGTGGAAGGTGGTGGGGGAAGGGGTGGTGGGGGAAGGGGGTGGTGGTGGAAGGGGGTGGTGGTGGAAGGTGGTGGGGGAAGGGGGTGGTGGTGAAGGGGGTGGTGGTGAAGGGGTGGTGGTGGAAGGGGTGGTGGTGGAAGGGGTGGTGGTGGAAGGGGGTGGTGGTGGAAGGGGGTGGTGGTGGAAGGGGGTGGTGGTGAAGGGGGTGGTGTGGAAGGTGGTGGTGGAAGGGGTGGTGGTAGAAGGGGTGGTGGGGGAAGGGGTGGTGGTGGAAGGGGTGGTGTTGGAAGGGGTGGTGGAGGTGGAAGGGGTGGTGGTGGAAGCGGGTGGTGGTGGAAGGGGGTGGTGGTGAAGGAAGAAGGAATGGTGGATGAAAGGTGGTGGGGTGAGGGAAAGTGGTGGTGGAAGGGGTGGTGGTGGAAGTAGGTGGGGAAAGGGGTGGTGGTGAAGGGGGTGGTGGTGGAAGGTGGTGGTGGAAGGGGTGGTGGTAGAAGGGGTGGTGGTGGAAGGGGTGGTGGTGGAAGGGGGTGGTGGTGGAAGTAGGTGGGGAAAGGGGTGGTGGTGGAAGGGGTGGTGGTGGAAGGGGGTGGTGGTGGAAGTAGGTGGGGAAAGGGGTGGTGGTGGAAGGGGTGGTGGTGGAAGCGGGTGGTGGTGGAAGTAGGTGGGGAAAGGGGTGGTGGTGGAAGGGGTGGTGGTGGAAGGGGTGGTGGTGGAAGTAGGTGGGGAAAGGGGTGGTGGTGAAGGGGGTGGTGGTGGAAGCGGGTGGTGGTGGAAGGTGGTGGGGGAAGGGGGTGGTGGTGGAAGGGGTGGTGGTGGAAGGGGTGGGGGTGGAAGGGGGGGGTGGGGGGAAGGGTGGTGGGGAAGGGGGTGGTGGAAGGGGTGGTGCGGATGGAAGGGGTGGTGGGGTGAGAGGGCGGTGGTGGTGGGAAGGGGTGGTGGTGGAAGGAGGTGGGGGAAAAGGGGGTGGTGGTGAAGGGGGTGGTGGTGGAAGCGGGTGGTGGTGGAAGGTGGTGGGGGAAGGCGTGGTGGGGGAAGGGGTGGTGGGGGAAGGGGTGGTGGTGGAAGGGGTGGTGGTGGAAGGGGTGGTGGTGAAGGGGGTGGTGGTGGAAGGGGTGGTGGTGGAAGGGGTGGTGGTGGAAGGGGTGGTGGTGGAAGGGGGTGGTGGTGGAAGGGGGTGGTGGTGAAGGGGGTGGTGGGGGAAGGGGTGGTGGTGGAAGGGGATGGTGGTGGAAGGGGGATGGTGAAGGGGTTGGTGGTGAAGGGGGTTGTAGGGGGTTGTGGGGGATGGTGGGGGTGATGGAGGGTCACTGGACACACTCATAGCCCGATCCACCCATATCACCCTCCTGCTCTGTTCTAGCCCCACCCTCCATACCAAGGCCCTCTAGACTCCCTTACCCAGCACACCAGACCCCACCCCTGCTCCTCCTAGTCCTTTAACATGCTCATGCCGCACAGCTGGTGTGGTTCAGTGGCTTGAGCTTCGTCCCATGGACTGAGAGGTCCTGATTCAATTCCGGGTCAGGGCACATGCCAGGGTTGGGGGCTCAATCCCCAGCAGGGAGCATGGAGGAGGCAGCTGATCAATGTTTCTCTCTCACATAGCTCTCTCTCTCCCTTCCTCTAAAAAATCAATAAAAACATATTTAAAAAAATATTCAACCTTTTCCAACCCTTCCTGTCCTAAGGCCCCACCCCACATAGCTCCACTCACTCACTTGAACCTTTTTTACCTCCACCCATGGACCCACCCTTACCCATGAGACCAGCCCTTCCTGGTCCTTCCAGGCCCCCTCAGCATCTCTCCTGGACAGTCACTGAGCCTCACTTCCTCACCTGTTAGAGCAAGCTGGCTCTGAACTTGGTCTCTCCTCTGGCCCCACCTGCACCTCCAACCTATTCCTGCCCCAACACCAGCCCTTGAGACCTGGCCCGGCTCACCTGCCCTTGAGGTGCTGCGGGCTCCCCAAGCAGCGGAACTTCCCGTTCACCATGATGGCCAGGCGTGTACAGAGTGCTTCACATTCCTCCATGCTGTCAGGGCAGGTGCTGTGAGCTCCAGCCAGACCCAGACCACCTGTCCTCCGGGCCTGGACCACCCTTCTCTGAACAAGTCCAGCTGGACCCAGACCGTTCAGTTCCTGGGCACTGTGTCCTCACACTCTGGCCTCATATCCTCCCCCAGGGTCAGGACCACCCACCCCGTGTGCCCCTATGCTCTGTCTGACAGCCTCTCACTGGGGTCTGCCTCTCTCCCCAAAGCCTGGACAACCTTGACCCACAGCCCTGAGATTGAACGCAGGGCCCACCTGTGCGAGGTAAGTACCACAGAGCGGCCCTCCCTCACCACAGCCAAGAGGCTGTTCCAGAGGAAGCGCCTTACACTGGGGTCCATGCCAGTGGTTGGTTCATCCTAGGAGGGGGCAGAGGTAAGACTCATCAGACTGGCCCTGCCCTGTCCTGGCCCCACCCTCACCCAGGCCTCAGCAGACACGCACCAGAAAGACCACTGCCGGGTCCCCCACCAGCGCCACAGCTGTTGCCAGTTTCCGTTTGTTGCCACCACTGTAGGTACCCACGGGCTGGTTGGCATACTGCTGGAGCCCCAGGTTCGCCAATCCGGAGCTCACTGTCTGTGGGCAGGCCGGGGTAGGGGACAGTGTGAATGTGGGAGGACCGATTCAAGTTGAGGAGACCAGAGTAAGCAGGGAAGGCCACAGCGTGGGAGGTAGAGTAATTGTAGGGGACCAGAGTAAGCAGGGGGCCAAAGTGAACGTGGAGGAATCAGAGTGAAACATGGGGGGTCCAGAGTGAGCAGGTAGGACCAGAGTGAACCAGGGGGGCAGAGTGAACAGGGGCCAGAGTTAACTTGGGAGGACCAGCGTGAATAGAGGGAACCAGAAGGAGTGGGGAACCAATGTAAGGAGGGGACTAGAGTGAATGAGGGGGACCAATGTAAGGAGGGGACTAGAGTGAATGAGGGGGACCAATGTAAGGAGGGGACTAGAGTGAATGAGGGGGACCAATGTAAGGAGGGGACTAGAGTGAATGAGGGGGACCAATGTAAGGAGGGGACTAGAGTGAATGAGGGGGACCAATGTAAGGAGTGGACTAGAGTGAATGAGGGGGACCATGTAAGGAGGGGACTAGAGTGAATGAGGGGGACCAATGTAAGGAGGGGACTAGAGTGAATGAGGGGGACCAATGTAAGGAGGGGACTAGAGTGAATGAGGGGGACCAATGTAAGGAAGGGACTAGAGTGAATGAGGGGGACCAATGTAAGGAGGGGACTAGAGTGAATGAGGGGGACCAATGTAAGGAGGGGACTAGAGTGAATGAGGGGGACCAATGTAAGGAGGGGACTAGAGTGAATGAGGGGGACCAATGTAAGGAGGGGACTAGAGTGAATGAGGGGAACCAATGTAAGGAGGGGACTAGAGTGAATGAGGGGGACCAATGTAAGGAGGGGACTAGAGTGAACAGGGGGGTCAGAGTGGGGGGGGGCCAGAGTGAACAGGGGGGCCAGAGTGAGTGGGGGCAGTGAATGGAGGTGGGGGGCCAGAGTGTGGGGCAGTGTAAGCCCGAGGGACCCCAAGTGAATATGGCAGGGCCTGGAGTGTGGGGGGAACAGAGAGAACAGGGGACAAGAGTAGATGGGGCCCTGCCTGGGTAGCTCAGTTGGTTAGAGCATCTTCCAGATATTGTGGGTTCAGTATCCAGTCAGAACACATACAAGAACCAACCAATGGGTTAGTAGAGGACTGACAAATCCATCCACCAATTTTTGGAACATACGCTCCGTAGCAATCACAGAGGTATCGAGTTTACAGGTAGTGAATGGTGTGCTGCTTGCGGGGAAGTTTAGTTTGGACTGTTTGCTGGGGGTCAGATGAAGAGTGCTAAAACTAGCTTTCCCATAAAACACTGTGGCATCAACAGGTGAAGGTGGATAAGGGGCCAGGTGGGAAGTAATTATCACCATACTTCAGAGAAGCGCCCTGCACCAAGCATATAGGAAAATGTAATTCTTCAGAGAGGTAGGTGTGGTAGGAGGTGAGCTCATCCTTGCCAGGTATTCATTTCTTCATGTAGGCATTTGACAAGTATTTATTGATCGCCTACTGTGTGCATATTACTGTGCCCTATAATGCCAGATTTTATACTCGACAAGCTCTGGGTTCAAATATTAATAAAATAGATCTCCTCCTCTTTATTTATTTTTTATCCTTACCGAGGACATTTTCGCATTTATCTTCAGATAGAGTAGGAAGGAGAGAGGGAGAAAGAGAGAGAGAGAGAAACATCGATGTGAGAGAGACATCGACTGGTTGCCACCCACACAACCCCAGGGGCCAGGGACAAATTGCAACTGAGGTACATGCCCTTAGCAGGAACCAAACCTGGGACTCTCTGGTTAGTGGGCTGACACTCTAACTGCTGAGCCAACCTGGCCAGGGCAGATCTCCTCTTTATTTTATTTATTTATTTATTTTTATCCTCAACCGAGGACATTTTTCCATTTTTTGTTCAGATGGAGTGGGAGGGGGAGAGAGAGAGAGAGAGAGAGAGAGAGAGAGAGAGAGAGAGAGAGAGAGAGAAACATCGACATGAAAGGGACACATCGAGTGGTTGCCATCTGCATGACCCAACCAGGGACAAACTGCAACCAAGGTACATGCCCTTAGCGGGAACCGAACCCGGGTCTCTCTGGACCTCGGGCCGATGCTCTAACCACTGAGCCAAACCAGCCAGGGCAGATCTCCTCTTTAAAGAAAAACAATCAACCAATGAACTCATAAATAAGTGGAACAACAAATCAATGTTTCTCTCTCTCTTTTTCCTCTCTCTCTCCCTCTTCCTCTCTAAAATCAATTAAAAAAAATAGAGTGAGCCCTGGCTGGTTTGGCTCAGCGGTTAGTGTCAGCCTAAGGACCAAAGAGTTGCGAGTTCAATTCCAGTTAAGGGCACATATCTCAGTTACAGTTCGATCCCTGGCCCTGGTCAGGGTGATGCAGCCAGTCAATGTTTCTCTCTCACATTGATGTTTCTCTTTCTCTCTTTCTCTCTCTCTCCCTTACATTCTATCTGAAGATAAATGAAAAAAATATCCTTGGGTGAAGATTTAAAAAAAAAAAAAAAGAGAGAGAGTGAGCAGTGATATTAGAGAGACCATGTAAGGAGGAGACCAAAGTGAGCATGGAGGACCAGAGTGAAAATGGGGGGACCAGAGGAAATGGTTATGGGGTGTCTAGAGGGAGCGCTGGGGGGCCAGAGTAACTTTGGGGGATCAGAGTAAATGTCGGATGACCAGAGTGAGGGTAGGACCAGGTGGGGAAGCACAGCGAGTGGAGGTGGGCACAGTGAGTACGTAGAACCTCCTCACAGGGTGGGACCAGAGAGAAGAGGAATGGAGGGTGCTGGGAGAGAATGGGGTGAAGGTAAATAAAGAGGGCAGGACCAGAATAAGCACCAGGTGGGGCTGACACCTGTGGGGAGGGCCACAGTGAATAAAAGGTGGGACCTGGCCTAGGGGCAGAAAGGCTCAGACCTCAGCCAGAGGGGGAGTCATGGAGAGAGTGAAGGCACCACAAACAGGGGAGAAGGGGCAGGTCCCTGAACAGGGGCGGGGAGCATCCCTGAGCAGGGAGCTGGCAGGTGCAGCTTGGATGACAGTAGTGAGTACAGAGGGCCCACGTGAATGTTGGAGCTGGGGGAGGGCAGAGGTGGGGCTGAGAGGACAGAGAGGGCCAGTGGACAAGGCTGGGAGCATGGCCAGGCAGAGCCAGTGTGGGCAGGGATCCAGAAGCCCTGGGTGAATAAGGGGCAGCGGGTCACCTGGCCGATCTTGGCATCAGGGACACCACGCAGGTGGGCAAACAGCTCCAGGTGCTCTCGGCCTGTCAGCAGCTCAAAGATGGCATCCGACTGAGGACAGTAGCCCATGCGACAGAGCGCTGCAGCTGGCTCCTGAGTCACACTGAGGATGGGGGACAAGGGGCTCAGGGAACTGGCTAGGTCTCAGGCATACTAGAGCAAACACAGGCGTCTCGGGGCCCACTCGCCACCCTAGACCACTCTGTTAAGGGACAGGAGTGTTTCAGGGCCTGCCCTGTCCAGGTGTGAGGGTGTGGGGGCTCAAAGCCTGCCCCACCACCATCTTGAGGTCCCTTACCTGTGGCCTGCCAGTATGGCCTCGCCCCCACTGGGCAGCGTGTCCCCAGTCACCATGCGAAACGTGGATGTCTTTCCTGCTCCATTCACACCCAGCAGCCCAAAACACTGCGGTGACACCCACAGAGGGTGTTCAACAAGGCCTCAGATTCCAGCACTTCCGATTCTGGGTGAATTTCTAAGTTTCTGAGTGTTGGACTGTGGGCAAGGGAAACCCCTGGGGAAAATACTGGGGTGTTCGAGGAGGCAGAAGGCTATCGCTTAGCAAGGAATGGTTGTTGGCACATGTGATGTGTTTAATCAGTCCTGGCACACAGTAGGTATCCTACAGCAAGTCATCCATACATATAGAGTCATGAGATTTCCAAATATTTCCTGCCACATGGGGGGTTCTCAGGCTGGGTGCCAATCAGCCCAAGGTGAAGAGGTTGACTAGCACAGAGTAAGTGCTTAATAAAGGATACTGGCACATGTGTGGGCACCCAAAGGATGCTCAATAATAAATATGCTAGTCCTCAGTAAGGGCTTACTACTACCTTATTGCACAGAGTAGGGTTCAGTAAATATAAGCATGCAGTCAGTGTTTAATGAGAGTTTGTTGGTTCAAAATAGGAGCTCTAATGTTGACAGCCAGTAGGTAGTCAATAAAGGGCAGCAGGCACACAGAAGCTATCAATAAAAGGCAGTGGGCACACAGTAGGGCAACCTCTCACTGTCCCTGCACAAAGACCTCTTTCCTGGACTCACCTCACCAGGGGGGATCCCCAGGCACAGGCGGTCAACAGCCGGTGTCTTCTGCCAGGGGTATACCTGGGAGGAGTGCAGAACCCTGAGTAATGTGAGTAGGCCAGGGGGAGCCCCACACCCAGTGCTCTGCACCCACCTTGGTCAGGTCCCGCAGCACCAACAGATCCCCCTGGGTGGCCCCTTCAACCACCCGTTCCCGCTCACGAGCCACATCCTCATCCTCCTTTCCCAGGGGGGGCAGTGGCATCAACTTGGGTCTAAGGACAGAGACATCAGTAGACCCAAAGCTGGACCCCAGCCCCTGCCACCCTGCCCTGGTCCCCACTGACTGTGGCAGGAGGCGGGTGCGGTACTGTAGCAAAAGTGTGAAGAGGAGGAAGAGGGGTCCCTGTATCACCATGGCCAAGAGGTTCTTGCCGACCACCTCCCAGCACAGGGGTGACTGGAACTGCCTGTCTCCTGTGGGAACAGGAAGGAGGGCCTGGGTCCTTGGAGGGGCTTGGTTTCTGAGCCCCTCCCCATTTAAGTCACCTTGGGTTCTTAAGGGACCAATAACTGGACAGGCCACTCAACTAGGGTCTAACTGATACAGAAAATAGTGATATCACCACCTCCCTTATTTAGGACTTTAGACTTCTTGTGATATAACCCAATATAGAATTAGCTTTTATGGTTGCTTTTCTGCACCTCTAACTTGACCCAAATTTAGGGCCACCTCAGACCTCCAGTTCTCTTCCTGGGTCTCCTGTTCGTCCCTACCCTGCATAACTGTTTCTTGGCTGGCACTTCCCCACCTGGAGGAAAGGTCTCACCGAAGCGCTCAAAGGCATCTGCCATAGCCTGGTTCCGCACCATGTCGATGAGCCCCCGACCCAGGCAGAAGTGGGGAAAGATAAGGAAAACCTGTTTCAGGATCCGGCTCACCTTCTGCAGCTTCTGCTCAGGGACAAGAAGAAGATGGGTCAGGAGCACAGGCCCAGCCCAGTCCCAGCCTGAGACCCAGCCTTTCGGTCCCACCTGATCAGGGAAGAGCTCGAGCACGAAGGTGGCCATGCTGCCATTAATGCCGATAAAGAGGTTAATGCAGGTGAGCACCACGTAGGCCGTGCTGGGCACGGAGAAGAAGAAGGAGGCTGGGTACATGAGCGGTGTGATTGACCAGCTGGGGGGCAACAGAAGTTGCCTGGTAACCACTCAGGGGGCTGAGTAGCCCCAAGAAGAGTACAGATCCCCCTTCCCCACCATATTCTGCACTGTAGACCCCTATTCATATGAATTGGGACAAGACGAGCTTTTAAGGCCACCCTGACACACCACTGAATTAGATCTCACTGTCGTCCCTCGCCACTTTGTGCTTCGATTGCGGCTTCAAGAAGCCGCGAAAGTCGAAGCACAAAGCGACAAGAAAGGACTGTATATAAATAAAGAATCCTACTTCGTGGAAATTCATTTATCATGGTAGAGTCTGGAACTGATTAACCGCAATAAATGAGGGCCAACTGTACCTCAGACCCTATATTCTCTTCCTCTCTTTGGGAGCTACTGCAGAGTCTCATCTCCCTCAACAGTATTGGTGGTAGGGCGTGGTCAATAAGAACAGGCCCTGAGGGCCTAGGGGCCTCACCCATACAGTAGTAGCAACAGTAGGAGGGCAGGCAGGTTGGCAGAGGCCACGTATGCCCTCTGCTGGAAGGCCAGAAATATGAGCACCACGATGCATGCTGACACCAAGTAGTTACACTGCATAGGAGATGGCAGTTACCCCCCAACAGCGTGCAGGGCTGGGAGCTGCCACCCTCAGCCCTGTAACCCACCCGGACCTCCCTGCATTTTGGGACATGAGGTCCCACAGTCCCCAAAACTTCACCCCAGCCATGCTGGACATGTCCCTGCCCAGAAGAGGCTAGAAGGGACAGTGATGAGTGGCAGTAGCTGGGTCCCCACCCCTCTGGGAAGTCCCCACACCATGTCCCAGAGAAAGTTGCTGAGCCAGTAGAGAGTAGGAGACAGGCCCCCCATGAACTGCAGGTGTTTGGCTCGGGTGACACGCTCCTCGATGAGGACAAGGGTGAAGCTGGCCGGGATGAAGGACATGGCGAAGACCACACAGATGGAGACAAGCACATCCACTGAGGAGGCCATCCTGGGGGCAGGGGAACATGAGCTGCTCAGGGCAGAGTTATGTATTCCATTGATGGGACCAAGGTCCACAGGGCTGGTCACTGGTGAGGGAGATGGCGCAAGCTATTTCGGGATGAGGGTGGCTGAGTCATTTGGCACAGAGAGGTTTTACAAGTCTCCAGTAAGATAAAGGTTAATATGGTGAGGACATGTGGGCCATTGGGGAAGATTGGAGCCCACTGAGCCTGACGATGTCCCATTACCCTGACCTAGGGAGCGAACAGGGGCATTTTCTACTGCCCATTTATACAGCAAGAGCATGCAGAGTGCAAATCCAGTTCCCACACCCAAAATAACAGGGAAACTTAGGTAAGGGAGAGACCATGTAGGGCAGAAGGACTCACAGGGTGGCCTCAGACAACTGCTCCTTGGTGAGGTTCAGGGGGTGGTTGAATGTGGTGATACTGTAGGCATGTCGGGTGGAGCCTGGTGGCAGGCGGGCATGTAGGAGTGCATTGTTGGCTCGGTTGACAAAGGCCACCATGGCATGCCAGCCCTTGTTGTTGAACCAGATCTGGGATAGGGTCAGGGTCGAGGGGTAAGGGTGATGAAGCCAGCCCTGTCCCCACCAGCTGCCTGTCCACTACCCCCAGTTCCCACCTTGAGGCTGTCCTGAGCATCCAGGCCATGAGCCCATGCTATGAGGTTGCTCAGGATGCGGTCGAGGGCCCCACCAGGCTGGGGACTCAGCAGCACACGCAGCTCCTCCAGCGAGTACCCCACCTCATGTCCTGAGGGCAGGTTCACATCTCGGCCCCCCAGGGAGAAGCCCCCATACCTGTGGGGCAGTGGGGGCAGGGAGAGGCAGCTGAGGGCCAAAGAGGATGGGGTGGGAGAGCCCACCAGTGGACAGGCAGAGGGATGCAGGAAGGGAATCCGAAGCAGAGGCCGACCCCTCCTCACCTGACCTCATTCACCCATTTCTTAGTCTTCAGGCTGTGAGTGAGACAGACAAAAGACAGAGATGTGAGACAGAGTGCAAGACACTGTGTGTGTGGGGTGGGGTGGGGGTGGGGGGGTCAGCTGAGACAGCAAAGAGGGGTTAGGCATGAAGGGTACTCAGGAGGTACCCAGCCCAGGCATCCACCCCGACCTCCCTGGGGACCAAACCACCTCCTAGACCTGACGACCGACACAACAGCCAGGCCCACAAAATCCTACTTCCACTCACCCCTGGTGCACCAGGCGCGGGTAGGTCTTGACTAGGAAGTCAGACAGGTTCCGACCTGTCAGGTTCTGCACAATTTCACCTGAGCTGGTCAGCGCCTGGGGGGGTGGGGGGCCACCGGCTGCAGCGGGGCAGTTGGGAAGCAGGCGGCGGGTACCAGGCTGGCTGCACTGGCAGGCAGGGGATGGAGACTCTGGGGTCCAGTTGCCACTGGCCAAGACCTCGGCCACGTCTGCGGGAATCTCAGGCACTGAGAACCAGTAGGCAGTAGGCTGCACATACTCAGGTGCCCTGTGGGAGCAGGCAGGGTTGTGGGCACCCAGCTTCCAGGGGGACTGAAATGTGGAGGCTCCCAGGTCCCAAGCAGGCATAGGGGGTGCTCTGGGCACTCCCAAGGCCCACTGGCCAGAGCCCAGACAGGGACGCCAAGGCTAGAGAAGGGCTAGGTCCAGGCTGAGGAACTCACCTGTGGGAGCTGTTCTGCAAGTCAGGGTTCTCCAATCCCGCCTCCTCCAGCAGTGCCTCCAGCAGGCGGACACGTTCAGGGTCCCCTGGAGCATCCTCGCTTTGGGGGTGGGGGGTGCAGGTCAGAGCTGTTCCCATGGGCCCCTGGTCCTCCCACCACCAGCCCCCTCTCCTGTGCACCCACCTGAAGAAGGATACCTGGGCACCATACATGCTGGGACTGAGCCCCAGAGCTGGGTAGTACCGGAACGGAGGCACAGTGAGGCTGAACAGCAGTGCCAGGCCCACAAACAGGGCTGGCAGCAGGATCTGAAAGACTGGCCATCAGCTGCGTTCCTCACCTACCCTCCAGGCTTATCACACCCTTCCTTGCGCCTACTCTATAACTATCCATGGCTCCCCATACCCTCTATAAAGGTGTGCAGGGTGGGGGATATACTTGGGATTGGGCAGTTGAATTAGGCCAGAGAGTGGAGAAAAGGCATCCAGGGTCCCCCATGCACCCTCCCTACTGTCCATTCCCCCTCACCTGTGTGAACAGACCACGGCGGCTACGGTAGGCAAGGAGAAAGCGCTTGAGAAGCAGGGCCCGAAGTTGTTGGCGGGTCAGCGTCCAGCCCTGTACCCGGCCCACGATGTCTGGCCCAGAGCTCCGCAGGGCCTGTATCTCTGGGGCAGACCCAACTGTAGGGAATGGAAGGGTCAGTGCTCGTGCTGGGGAGACTGGGAGAGGTCACAGGGCCACAGGGTTGGGGTGGGGCTACTTACCCAGGTCCCCGTCCTCCAGGACTGACTCCTCTGGCAGAATCCTGAGCCCTGTGGTCACATTTGGTTGAGTAATGCCTACATACAGGTGTTGTCTGCGGCTACCATCTGTGGGGCCATGAGGGGTCAGGGGTAGGGGACACAAATGAAGGGGATCAGGAGTCAGAGATAGAGGTCAGTGCTATGCCTTGGGCCAGGCTCAGCCAGGACTTGTATAAAGTGAGGTCCAACTCTGGACCAGTGTTAAGGGTCAAGGACAGGGACCTGTGGCCGTGCCCTCTGGATCTGTGTCCACAGCATGGTCTTTCACCACCTTCAGGAAGATCTGGGGAGACAAAGCAGGGGGTTAAAGCCTGAGAATCCCCAGGAGGGAGCTGGGGGTTTGAAAGTCCTCCACCCTCAGCTTCTCTAAGGAACCCCAGGCATCCATGAGTGGCCTGCCTCCTCCCTGGGATACCCTGCTGTAGATAAGCAGACTCCTTCCAAGTGCCACCTCCTCCAGGCAGTCCTCTCCCAGCATCCGCACCTCCTCGAGGCTGGTGTCAGAGATCCCATAGCCGGACAGCCCCAGCTCCTCCAGTCGCTGGTCTAGCTCATGGAAGAGCTTGGCAAAGTTGCCATCCAGGGCACCCCCATAGGGCAGCGCCAGCACCAGCTCATGTGACAGCTCCTCAACCAGCTGTGCCCCAGGCACCTGGCACTGGACCACTGCCAGCAGCTGGAGTGCACCTGGGTGGGTGGGGGTACATTAGGGGCCCTGGCAAGGCAGGTGCCCTGGCTCCTGCCTCACCCATCTCATCCCAGCCTCCCTGAGGAAGGACCTTGGGTGACTCACAAGGGGCCTGTCCCTGTGGACAGAGGAGATCAGGGTTGAATACCTGATGGCAGGACTTGACCTGGGATCAGAATTGGAGTCCACCCAGGGTCAGAAGTCAGAAATAGGTTTCTGTTTGGGCTCTGCCCAGGATCAGGGGTCCAGTCTGGGGTCATGAAGCCCTGTTACCCTGAACCAAGCCACTGTCACCCACTGGCCCCTCCCTCTGGTTCTCCCACCCCAGCCCTCACCGGCTCTGCTGCCCTGGTTGCCCAGCTCCCTCTCCTGACTGGCATCCACGCTGTCCTCCATGTCAGTGTCACCCTGCGGGCAGAGGGGCACCAACTGACATGGCCATTGGGGCTGGATAAAGCCGTCAAGGGCTTGGGGTCAGAGGTCAGTTCCAGCCCTCACCTTTGTGCTGGTGGCAAGGGCCTGGAGACACTTTGCCAGCCTCAGGTAGTAGCCAGATCCCAAGTGACGCCGCAGGAAAAGTAGAGAGCCATAGCAGCATAAGCGGCCGCCTGCCACTACTGCTACACGGTCTCCCAGTAGCTCTGCCTCATCCAGGTGGTGGGTAGAAAGGATCAGTGTGCGACCTGGGCATGGGAACCCAACATACATGCATCATCAGGCCACCGGGTCTTTGCCTAAGCTGTGGCCTCTGCCAGGAATTGCCTGCCTCATGTGGCAAACTCCTACTCATCCCTCAAAACTCCATCCCCAGCACTTCCTCATGAGAAACCTTTTCTGTTTGACAGACACTACTTTCTGGCCCCTCAAGCAGAATCCAGGAGAACTTTGTGCTACCCCCAACTCTTACCTTCCCGGTATTTGAGCAGCAGTTCCCAAATGTTGCGACGGGAAGTGGGGTCCACACCAGCTGTAGGCTCATCCAGGATAATGATTTGGGAGCCACCCACAAAGGCAATGGCCACTGAGAGTTTTCGCTGCATCCCGCCTAGGCAGGGATAAAAGCCTGGATCTCAGCATGACCCCCTAGTCTTGGGCAGGGCTGTCTCCCCTTTCTCCACCCACCTAGACCATATTACCTGGTTCCTTCTGGGTCCCCCAGATCTCCTTTGGCTTCCCACTACCCTTGGGATTAAGTCCCAGCCTCATCTCCACCGACCTGGATGTTCCTCCCCAGGCTGGGCTCACCAGAGAGGTGGCGGGTCTGTGCACGCCGCTTGGGAACAAGCCCCACATCCTGCAGCAGATGGTCCTGCTCTGGGCCCACGGCAGCCTGACTCAGACCCTTCAACCGACCGTAGAACCAGATGTGCTCGTCCACAGTAAGCCTGTTGCCACAGGCAAAAATAGTGGCCACCATGGCAGACAGGGTCTCAGAGAACACCCAGCCCCTCCCACTGCTGTACTCCAGGCCTCTCAGGACTCACATGTCAAACAGCACATTGTACTGAGGGCAGACACCCAGGTGGGGCCGGATGGCTGCCATGCTGGTCTGAACGTCATGGCCCAGGACATAGGCGGAGCCGCCAGTGGGTGGAAAGAGGCCACTCAGGATGGACCTGGGGGTACAGGGGTCCCAGAGCATCTGTTCCTTCAGAAGTGGAAATTGAGGGCCCCATACAAGGGGCACCAATATTTATAGAGCACCTATTGTATGCCTAGACCAAAGTGGTATTATGTCTCTATTTTACAGGGGGGAAACTGAGGCTCAAAGAAAATACTTATTACCTGCATATCGTGTACCCAAAGTGCACTGGAGGTCACATTCCCAGTGTAGAAATGGGAACCTTTTGGCCCCAGATGCCTTTCACATTAAACAGATATGCAAACCGAGGCCCAGGGGAAGGAAGGGGGTGGCAGCAGCTCACAGTGTGGTTGTCTTGCCAGCGCCGTTGTGGCCCAGGAAGGCGGTGATGTGGCCCTGGTAGAAGTCCAGGCTGAGTCCGCACAAGGCTGGTGTCGGGTTGCCAGGAAAGCGCTTTTCTAGGCCCCGTATGGAAACCACGGGAATCAGGCCAGGCGGAGCCTCTTCCACCAGCTCTGGGGAAAGAGGCAGTTAGTGGGGGGACCCTTGGGCAGCCATTAGAACCAGTCTGCATTATCAGGGATCTGTCAGGCTCCAGTCTATAGAAGTTAGGGGAGCCTATATGTGTGTGGGGAGCTGAAGATGTCCAGAAATTGGGATCTGTGGGAACTTGGGTTTTGGAGGGCCCTGGGGGTCCTGCTGGGGAAGCAGCTCTTAAGGCTTGTTTCCTCACCCTCTGGGTCCTGCCAGGCTGGGGGCAGGTCAGAACTCTTGGGGGGTCTAGGCCCAAACCAGTAGCTCCTCCGAAAGGGAAAGTTCCATGGTTCGGGGATCCCATACTGGCCTGAGGGGGGGGGAAGCAATGCTTAGTTATCCTTTTATTTATTTTTTAATTTAAAAAAAATGTTTTTTTCTTTTATTGATTTTAGAGAGAGAGGAAGTGGGGAGAGAGAGAAAAATATCGATGAGAGAGGACAACTGGCTGCCTCCTGCATGTCCTCCACTGGGGATTGGGCCCACAACCTGGGCATGTGCCCTGGTCGGGAGTCGAACCAGTGACCTCTTGGTGTATGGGTAGATGCTCAACCAGTGAGCCGCACCGGCCAGGCTGCTCAGTTAGCCTTTGAGCCCATTCCCCTGGAATCTGCCAGCTTCTGGCCACATACCTGGAATGAGGCATATAGGCAGGGAAGTGACTAGGAGATCCTGTCCACTTGCCCCAGGTCATCCTCAAATGCAGCCACCCGTGTGCATGTGTCAGGAAGCTCCGCCCTCTTGCCTAGGAGGTTCCATCCTAAGTAGACCTGCCCCTCAGCCCAGCCTCCCTTGTGCGGGTGTGCACAATCAGGAGTCCCTTCTCAGAGCCCACCTGGGCACACAGCCTCCAGGTACCAAGTGATGAGACCATAGAGCACGGCATCCAGCAGCAGAAGGCCCGAGACTTGGGCCAGGCTAAAGACGTCAGCTGCAGGCCCAGTGCCCACGTTGCGCCACTGTGCGCCCTCGCCTTGCTCCTCCAGCAGTGCCAGGCTCTCACAGCCAAAGCCAAAGGCCACAGGTGACAGAATGCTCTGCGGGTGGGGGCAGGGGCAGGTGGGTCAGCGAGTGAATGCAGCTACCATCCTGCACCTCACCCTGGTCCAGTTCTCACCGCTGCCACACGTCCACCCATGGACAGCTGGTCCCTCCAGGCCACACACAGCACATAGGGCAGATAGAGCACGAAGTACATGAGGCCCCCACAGGCGGCTGCAAGGTTAGCACGGGAGAAGAAGGTGCTCAGCAAGAAGCTCTGGACCACCGTGGCCACAGCGAAGGCCGCCAAGAACAAGAAGAGCACGACTGGGTGACTATAGGGGAGGATGTCCCCAAGCTGCGGGAGACAAAGGGAGCTCAGGTGAGACACTCAGATTTTCCCAGGGGTACGCACTCACGCAAGGCTCCTCCTGCCTGTTACCCTCCTCTGCACATACACTCCCACTATGCAGCCAGGAAGACCATGGCACCCTCACCTTGAGCACCATCACGAGCAGTGCAGTGCTGAGAAGGAAGGGCCCGAGACAGCTGAGGAACCAGCCCAGCCACAGCACAGTGCCACTGAGCCCCATAGCGCGCATTGTGTAGCGCAGCCGTGTCTCCTTCTCGCGCACCAGGGCCTTCACTGTCAGTGACACCGAGTAGATCCAAGCCAACGTCAAGAAGAGTGGCAGCGATCGGCTCAGCACACGCAGGAACCTGGAGTAGCAGGGCTGGAGGCTGGAGACCCTGCACAGCTCCCATCTGACTCTATGGTTTCCACCCCAGGACCATAAGGCACAAGCAGCCACGGACATTCACCCTCTTATCCTTGGGCCTTTCATCTAGCCTCAGAGTCCCAGCTGTCAGCACAGATCACATTCTCTCTGTACCAGGAGACCCCAACCCTTACGGGTACCTGCTCCTCCCGCTACAGATCACAGGGGGTGGTCCACCTAAACCAGCTATTCACAGCCTTGACTTCATGAATATTCCACATGGATACCAGGTCCCACCTGAGAACTGGGATCTGCAGCTGGGGGAATGAGTAGGGAGGAGGCACTCACTTATCATCAACATAGCACGGGTAGGGCATCTGCTGCAGGTAGAGGCTGGCACGGGGTGCACTGCCACTGAGCATGTGCACAGCTGCGTGCTCCAGCAGGTCCTGAAGGTACACGAAGCCACCCCACACATAGTGTAGGTCTGTCAGGGGATCAGCGGCTGGACCTGGGTCCCAAAACCTGCAAGGAGCACAGTGGTTGGCAGCAGGGACCAGCTGGAAACTCCAAGGGGCCTGTCCATCACACCTTAGCTTTGTCCTCACCCATGGGCTCAACTACAGGCCTGGCCAGACCTGCCATCCAATTGTCCCACACCCAGTCCCATTTATCATAGAAGCCAAGGTGTTGAGCCCACCCACCAAGCCCTTCAGCAGGTCTCTTACAAAACCTAGGCCCTGCCCACCACGGACCCAAATTTGTCTAAGGAATCAATTAAACTGCTTGCAGTGGTCTCCAGTGGGCGATGAGGGGATGCCCTGGCCTTGCCCATCAGGCTCTTGGCTCCACCCCCACACGTGGCAACATTCCCACCTGTCCCTGATTTTATCAGTTCTGATGACATTGTCAATGTCCATGCGGATCTTGATGCGTATGTGTCCTGGGCCTGGGAGCTGCTCTGGGTCTGGGGAATCCTTGGGGCCCAGGAAGACAACACCTGCCCAGAAGCGGTGCTCAGCAAGTAGCTCCAGAGCCCGCTCTACCAGGGCTGCCTCCGAGGGTGCTGCCTCCAGCTTGTCCAGGGTCACGCACTGGGGAGGGTATGAGGCCTGGGTCAGAGGGACCTTGGTCCTGTCCTGGGGCTGAGCCAAGCTTTCTCCTAGGAGTCCCAGGGTGGGGCCCACTCCTCATAGGACAGGTTAGCTCCCCCCTCAAAAGAGTTTCCCAAGTGGACTGCCCTTACCTCCATAGCACGGCCCAGTGTGCCCACCAGATGCTCCACATCTGCATAGGCATCCTTCCAGCTGTAACCACCACCATGGGGATCCAGAAAGGCTTGAAGAGCCTCCACCTGGTGCTGGCCTCTGGGTCCTGGCTGTCTCCTTCCTTTGTCCTGCATTTGCAGGATCCTCTGGGGGATGGCAGGGGAACGTGGGGATCTGCATGGTGCATTCCTTGCCTTGTCACCCCTCTTCCCATCTCTGGGGCCTGTCCTCAACATGGAGGCGACATCTCACCTCCACACTCTTGCCCTGGAGGTCCTGACCTGACCTTTGCCCTAATTCTCAGCAGGGGGTGATATGATTGGGAAGGCTGTAGATAAATCTGCCACCCTCCATCCTGGGCCCACCTGCAGTATGGCTATATTTGCACTGTCATTCATGAAGTTGAAGAGTTGGGGTCCCAGCACTCCCCACACCTCATGGATATCCTTCAACAGAGCCAGCTCCTGGAAGGTCCGGTTCACCTGGGGGAGGCAGGAGTCTAGATCAGTGCCAGGCTCACCCATTCACAACCCCTCTTCTGAAAGAGGACCCCCGTCCACTTCTTTCTCCTCTACTTTGCTCCATATTGTGCCTCTGAGCACTGGCACATGCCTCCCAGGGCCTTCTCCCAGGCCTAGCCCTCATCCCGAGCTGAGGGAGGGACTGCGGATCCCTCCCACTCTAACCTGTGCCATGAGCTGCCGAGTGAAGGGTGTGTCAGGTGCAAACAGCAGTTTCCCCAGGACCAGTGGCTTCAGGCGCCTCCAGAGCAGGTGGGACAGTGGGTGCATGTCCAGGGTCCCTATCAGCTCAGCACAGGCAGGGCCTGGGTTGAAGGTGCCATGAGGCTGTGCCCCCACATCCACCACCCCACTTCCCAAATCGGGAAACCAAAGTCAATCACTCACTCAGGACACTGTTGGGTAGGGCTGGCTCCTGCCTCACCAACTCCTTCAGGTCGCGGGCCTCATACCAGTTGAGAGAGGACCCCCCAGAGACTCTAGGCCCCCTGTCACTACAGAGGGCTTCTGATACTACTTCCAGGGGGTCACCTGTCAGTCGAGGTCTCCGCAACAGTGCCTGCAGTTCTGCCAGGCTGGGCAGTGCCAGGAGCTGAAGAGAGGTCACCAGAGGGCGTTGGCAGTCATCCCTCCTGCACGGTCCCACTGCCAAGCCTTAACCAGGGTAGGACACCCCACCAGGAGGACCTTCTTTTTCTCTTTCTGCCCAAATCCACCCCCAAAAGAAAAGCTTACGCAAGAGAACTACCCAGGGCTGCCCTGTCACCTCCCCATCTGTCAGCCTGCCCCTCGTTTCCTGCCTGGGATGGAGGATGAGGAACCTCTTACTTGCTGGGCCAGGTCCTCTGCAGCATCCACAAAGCTGCCCACTGACTCCTGGGCTTGGTCCAACACAGACCTCAGGGACTCCTGGGAAGAAGGGTGACAATGACCTTGATTGAGGTCTCACTAGGGGTCGAGCAGTTTGCCAAACTTCCAGATGGTCCATTCTATGGGTACACACCCATTTATAAATGGGGAACTGAGGCTCCAAGAGGCACGTGGACTTGTTCAAGGTCTCAAGGCCTGGAGTCCACCACCATGCCTTGGGACAGCCCAGACAAAGGTCTGGAGGCTGCAATCAACTATCCTGAAAGGGAGTCACCTGGCCCAGAATGGGGCAGTGCTGGGACTTCCTGAGAGTAATGTCTCAGAGCTGGCCACATTTCACTCAGCCCCACCTCACCCCTTGCAGCAGCTCAGTGGCCAAGGACAGTCCTTCCTGTGGCTGGTCACTTGATTGAGGCCAGACTGTAGGAAGAATGCATGAAAGCACAGGTTAGGCAATGTTTGGCCTCAAACACTACCACCCACCTTGTGCCCATTTTACAGCCAGGCATGTGGAGACTCGGAGCTCAGCCTACCAGAAGACCCTGGTCTCCCACTTGCTCTGAGTGCAGTCCTTAACGTGGGCATCAGCTTCCCCAAGCTGGCCAGCATCCTGTGAGCACTGGGGCTCCCCAGGATAGCATGGGCATCTGCCAGGAGCCGGGAGACCCTGAGGACAGAGAATGGGCAGGAAGCAGGAGCTCACTGGGCACCTCCGCACCCACCAATGCCCCCCCACCCCCGTGCCCACAGTGCTTGCTCACAAGGAGTCATTAAAGTTGCTGAGGACGCCTGGCTCCTCACTGGGCGTGTGCTGTGGGAAGCAGGTGTTGTTCAGGTTACAGATGAGACCCTGGAGCCAGGATACCATGCCCGCAGAGGGCAGTGGCTTATTGGGGAAGTGGCCTGCAAGGATGCTAGGTCTTGGGCACTTGCCAGAGTCTTCACCATTATCCCATCCTCCACGCACTCTCAGCCATTTATTGGGTGCTGGATCTGTGTTCTCTGGTCTTTGCTCACTGGGACCCCTGTGGATAGGGTGACTCCTTGCCTCCCCCCCCACACACACATAAGTACCTGGACCCTGGAGGGGGCTTACATTCATGCTGTTCCAATGGGGGGTGGGAATAGCGGACGGCGACCAGAATGAAGAAGAGAAAAAGAGGCCACAACAACTCCACCAGGAGCTGAAGCTGGGGGAGACAGAACAAGCAGGATAGTGGGGAACAGTAAGGAGTGCCTGGGCCGTGCCCACCCTGTCCCAAATGCCCAGGCGTTACCGGCTGTCTCTTGCGATAAAGGAAATTCTTCCAAAGCAGCAGCATGAGCTGCGTCCAGAAGGCCATGGTGGAAATAGATAGGAGACAGGACCGAGGGGTCAGGTTGAGGACGTGCTGTGCAGCTGCGGGCAACTCCCTGTCCCTCTCGGAACTTCATTCCCTCTATTCCATTGCGCAGAATTTCTGGACACTGCTTAGAGCTAGGCAAACCGTAGGCACGTGCTTACTTCAAGTGCTTACGCCCTCAGTGAGCCAATGGAGGCCCTGCCTGAAGCCGTCCTTGCATCTGATTGATTGCCAGGACTGTCACTCCCCGTAGCTGCTTGGAAAACCTATCAACTAATTCTTCAGGGGGCGGGGCCTCGACTTCACTCTTTCATTACCAGGCTCTACCCCAAGCTCACTTGGAGGCCTCCAGATCCTGACCCCAACCTCATCCCTGACCGGGGAAGGATCCCCGTCCCGCTCTTCTCCAATGATAGTAGCAAAGTATTTACTGTGCTGAACATTTTACACTCCTGGCTGAAAGAGGGGCGGATCCAAGAGCCCAATGAGACAGGTAGTCATCCAGCTGGAGGCAGGACCCTAGCTCTGCTTACCCTTCATGGATTATTTATTGCTCAGAAGACCCCTAAAATTTAGAAAATGGGTTAGGAGAAGGGACAGCGATGGTGGCTCCTGGAACCAGCGATTCCTGACCCTGTCACTTGCTTGGAATCGTCTAGTTCTGGCCTACTTCATTACTGTACAGATGGGGAAACTGAGGCCGCCAGGGGGACAGGGAGTTGCCACAGCTTACATACAGAGGGGCAACTAGGACCCAGGACCCTAGACCCCCACTCTATAACTCAACTTTATGTAAAATGGGATCTGGGGGAGCAGTCTCAGCTTCTCCATTTGTAAAAAGGGAGCAGAGGGTTTGGAAGGGTTCTAACGAGGAAAGGGGCTTCAGGTGTACGTTGGCCAAGCCCGTCTCAGGTGAGTCTAATGCCCAAACTGCCCCTTGAAAATTAGTGGCCAATTTTGCCGCCCCCCCGCCCCCCCCCCCCCCCACACACATACTCGCAGGGAGTGAAGATAAGTGAGAGTCTGGACTCCGCCCGCACCCACTAGTTCCCAGGGAACCTGCCTCGGTACCAACCATCCCCACACCCGCATCCTCTTGGGGCCTTCCTCTCTCTCCTCTCCGGGACCCTTTCACCGTTTCAGCCCCCCAGAGCTGGCTGCCTTCCCTCTACCTGACAGCGGCCAGAAAAGCGCGGCCCCTTTAACAAAAGCCGGGCTAGCGGGCGCCACGCCTCTGCAGCTGTTGGTGCCTGCAGCTGGTGCTCTTGTCAGCCCCTGGCCCTGCCTCCTCCCACTGCTATTGGCTGGCGTACCGCCACTCACAGGCTGAGCCAGCCGGAGTCGCGCGCACCGAGGAAGTAAGTAGGTGGGGTCACAGCAGGGCCATGCCAAACCGGTTTTCTTAAAAGGGTCGCTTGCTTCTTGCTGCATCACTGTGAGGTGGCTCAGCGGCAGGCTTCCCCAATCCAGGCTGGCCTCTGCACACGCCGACCCGGCTGTCTTCCCACGTTGCCTAGCAGCCTGCAAGATCGCAACTCCCGGTCGCAGAACACTTTCTCCCTACTCTCCCCTGGAGGATCCTGGTCCTGGCCAGACTCGCCCTATTACCGAGACTGTATTTATGCATCGGAAAACGCAGCTTCGACTATTCATCATTCATTCCACAAACAGTCCTTGGTCCCTAAAATGATACAGGTGATGGCAGAAAGGAAAGGAGGTCCCCAACATTCTGAGATTAGAGCCCTGGGTCCTATCGGTCATCCTGACTTTGGGGAAAATCTTGGGATGTTTCCCACTCCGTTGAAGTGAGTGTGTTTTACAAGATAGCCAAGATGAAACAAGGGTATGTGTTGTAAGGTGTCAGCGAGATAACCAGAGATGCACAGCCGAATTGTAAAGGAGCACTTTATTATACCAGTGGGCTGAGGGGGGCTCTCCCCAAATCCTCAGCCCAAGCCTTATTTGTTGCCCGCTTTTAAAGGCACAAACTACTTGGGGGGGGGGGACTACATTCTCTTAGCTCCGCTTTTGGCACTGTTAAGGGGAGGCTGATACAGAGAAGGGAGAGAGAGGAGTTTGTTAGAGGTCGGGGCAACTATTAATTTCTTTCTTCTCATGGTTCCTCTGAGTTTCCCAAGGCCTTCATTAAACCCTTATCTTTATAGTTTTCTTTGGGTTTCTCAAGGCCCTTATGTTTACAAAAAAGAATCTCAGGGTGTGTACGTGCAGTAACTGAGGGTCAGAATGGAGTTATTACATATGGATCCACAGCTCTGAAAGTGCCGGTAAAGGTGAGCAGTGTGGGGAAGGCTCTATGGAGGAAGGTGGTTTTGCTGTTGGGGATTTGCGGACAAATAGGAGTTTGTCTGGATGAGAACTCCAGACAGAGGGAATGCATAAGCAAGGCTTGAATGATGGAGCATTTCCTGGAGCCCCAGCTGTCAGTGTGGGGTGGGGGTAGTGGTTGGTTGGCGTGGAGGCTCCACCTCCTTTCCAACCAACCAGAAGACCCAGCCTCTTCCCCTATCCCAGGTCCTAGCCCTCAAATAATTTTTTCAACCCAGACTGGTCAGTGCCCTGGGCCTCAGCTTTCCCAAGACAGCTGTGAAGACCAGATATTTGTCCCACAGCCCCATCCCCAGGTCCCTCAGGGCCCCAGAAAGGATCCAAGTTAACATCTCCCCCAGGCTGCCTCTGATGACAACTCTCCCAGCACCTTCTTTTCCTTTAAAAAAGTTTTTATTGCCTTTGGTCCACAGTTGGTATTTCACATTATCTCTTGGTCCCAGGGCTCCTGGGTGGAGCTGGTCCTAGGGAGGACCTCCTGGTGGGGGTTCCTGTGCAGTACTTGGTGGGGGAGAGGGGCAAGTATGGAAGGGGGGTGTCTAGCTTTGCCTCAACCACTCAGAACTCTATTGTCCTGTCTGGGTCTCAGTTTCTTCACTGGGCCCCTGGAAGGATCCTAGGGAAATGCAGTCCCTCTCAGTGCCTAAAATATCTGGGGACTGTGGCCTGGCTTTCTCCAAAGGAACTTCTTTCCAGCACCCTCCTCCACCATCCCTACCCAATTCCTCTGGAAAAAAAAATTACAACTGCCTGAAACTTCTGTGGGTACAGAAACCACAAACTACTCAGCAGAGAAAAGGGAAGAGGGGCAGAAGCAACCGGAAACCATTTGGGGCCAGTTTCCCTCCCTGCACAGGTTTCTTCTCCCCTCCACAGCTTGGCCCAAAGCTTGCTGGGAAATTTGCTACCTGGATGTGCCCCAGCAGGGACCCCCACCATACATGCATCTGGATCTGGCCTTCACAGACCCTCAGCTGGAAGCACGTGAACACATAGAAAAACAAGATGAAAACCCAAAAAGAACTTGAAATCCCAGATGAGGCGATGATGTGGGGAGACAGCTTGCAAGGGGGCTCAGTAGCCTGCCTCCTCTTGGTAGTAGGGAGGGTACTCCGGGGCTGTCCCTGGGCTTGGGCAGTCACCAACCGACCCTGGAGCCCCATCAGCCACTGGGCCTTGTGGGCAGTACTTGGGGTCATATATCTGCCGGCCCAGGCCAAAGACCTGGCCACTCTGGTTGGCACCCTGTGTGTAGCCCATCTGCAGGGACATGGAAGAGTTGTCACACTTCTCGGTCCCCAGCTTGGTATCATAGATGTGCCGCCGGGTCCCAGGAGCTGTCATGCCCACCTAAAGAGGGAGGAGAAAGCGTAAGGATAAAAGGGATGAGGGAGAAATGTAAGGCCCCACAATTTCTACACTACCTCCCATCTCCCTTTACAGTCACAGTGCAAACTCCTATGCATCCTCCCAAACCCTGCTCAGACACCCTCTTTTCTGACTCTATGCTGAGATTTTTTTTTTTTTTTTTTTGCTGAGATTATTTCATTACCAGTGACCCTCTCTGTTGGAACTAGGGGTGTTTGGGTCCAGCTTTCCCCGCCAGCCAGGAAGCTTTCTAGGCTGGAGCCAAGGCCTCCCAAAAAACAGAGTTCTCCAAAATCACCATCACACCTCTCTCTACATGCGACACAGCAGGAAAAGTGAGAATCACAGGATCTAAAATAATTTTCAGAGTTGAATGGACCTTGGGACAGTCCCTTGAGGGAAACTGAGTCACCAGAGCTGGGTAGAAACATCCTTGAGGACACACAGCAAGCTGAGACAGAGAAAGAGAAGGCAGGATGGAAGCCCAGAGTAGGGATGTCAAGAGAGAACAACGGTTTTGGCTAGTTGGGGTGGGCACCTGAGGGGACTAAGCAAGGCCCACCTGGCTGGCACACTTGTTGGTGCCCATTTGCAGGCTGATGGTTGAGTGGTCCATGGGTGGCAGGATATGGTTCTTGGGGTCGTACAGATGCCTTCTTGTACCATAGGCTGTCATGCCTGATTGGCTGGCACACTTGTTGGTACCCATCTGCAGGGAGGCAGGCAGGAGAGGTCAGGCTGCCCCAAACTCAAGGGGCCACTGGGTGGGACAAGGCCTGGGTCACAGCAGAATCTGTCCCCCACAGTGGGCCCTGGTGCCCACCTGGAGCCCAATGACGCACTGGCCCGCCTTCATGGTGGCGTCATCAAAGTTCCGCTCCTGCTTCTCTGAGTACTTGATGCCAATGTCCACGCCACTCTGCAGCCCTTTTGTTTTGGCCTGGAGGGAAGCAAGGCTGGGAGTATCAGGGCGGGGTGCAGCTGGGACCCTTGAGCCAGTCCCAGTGTGTGACCCTGGATGAGACACGGGGATTAGGCTGCAACCTGCCCCCTTTGCCTGTTGCCCAATGCCTTAGGTGTCGGATTCAGAGGTCCGGTTGGCCCCAACCTTCTAGTTGCTCAGGCCAAGAATTCTCGGGGGTGTCCTTGCTACCCTTCTCTCTCATCTTCCATCACCTTCTACCCAACTCTCACCGCCGCCTGTTCAGGCTATGGCCACCATCTCTCACTTGGACACCTGCCCCTGGCTCCTCCCTGGTCTCCCCATCCCCAGACCTCATGGGGCAGCCACAGGTGGCTCCTGAAAACACCATTCGGAACACAATTCCTGACAATGAGAACCTCCTCCCTATTCCCACGTCAGGGCCTTGCTATTCCTTCCTCTGGAAACTGTTCCAACCTACCCTGGTCTCTGTTTAAGGGTCACTAGATCCTACACATTGGTCTAATTCTTTCTTCTCCCTCCAGCAGTGTCTCAACTTCCTTATAATTTATTAAAAAAATGACTTGAGCCCTGGCCGGTGTGGCTCAGTTGGTTGAGTAACGTCCCATGCATCGAGAGGTTGCAGGTTTGATTCCTGGTCAGGGCACATGCCTGGGTTGTGGGCTTGATCCCCAGTAGAAGGCGTGCAAGAGGCAGCCAATCAATATTTCTTTCTCATCAATGTTTCTATTTCTCTCTCTCCCTCTCCCCTCCTTTCTCTCTAAAATCAATAAAAACATTAAAAAAAAAAAAGACTTGAAGAGGGAACCCCCATGTAAACTCTGGACTCTGGATGCTGGAGGTCTGGATGGCCATTCATCAGTGGTAACAAATGGTTGAAATTTCGTTATGTGGAGGCTGTGCATGAGCAGGGGTAGGCAGGGGGACATATGGGAAATCTCTGTAGCTTTCTCTCAATTTTGCTGTGAACCTAAAACTGCTCTAAAATATAAAGTTGTGTTTTTTTTTATCCTCACACGAGGACATTTTTGCATCTATCTTCAGATAGAGCAGGAGGGAGAGAGGAAGGAAGAGAGAGAGAAACATCGACGTGAGAGAGACACATCAAGTGGTTGCCACCCACATGACCCCAAATGGGCCGGGGACAAACCACAACTGAGGTACGTGTCCTTAGCGGGAACCTAACCTGGGTCTCTCTGGTCCATGGGCCGATGCTCTAACCGCTGAGTCAAACCGGCCAGGGCTAAAGTTATTTTTTAATTTAAAGAAATGATTTGTTTATTGTCTGCTTCCTCCATCAGACAGTGAGCCCATGAAGGGGTGGACTGTGTCTGTCAGCATCTGTAAACCTGCATCATATTTGCTATGTAGCTTTGGGCAGGTCGCTGCTCCTCTCTGGGCCTCACCTTCCCTGCCAGAGCCAGAAGAGACACCTGCACCTGTGTCATGTTTCCACTCTCAAACAGGTCATTGGCCTCGAACAGGTCCACAGAGTTCATGCCGTAGCTGACCATGGCCTTGATGAAGTTGGAGAGGTTTTCTAGCTGGGAGGAGGCAGGAAAGGGGTAGTGAGGAGACCTCAGGCTGCCCACAGATCAGATGGGATCCCCCAGCCCCATCCTTGCTCCACCCGCCAGCCCCTCACCTGGTGCCAGTTTTGCATGGAGCGGTTGATCTTGGGGACTGAGCCTGGCTGCAGCTTATTCATGAGTCTGGGGATGGGGGACACATGGATGGGGAGGAAACAGGAACCTCCATTAGCATAGGTGAACCTGAACCTCACAGACCCAAGAGGCCAATTCTAATCTTGGCCACCTTCCTGGGCAACCTTACTGCCTCTTTCTGGGCCTTAGTTTCCCCTCTTGCAATGTCATCTTCACCTACAAAGCAAAGATGCTAGAGTGACAATAAAAGGTGTTGGGAGTATAATCCAGAACCCCTGATTTCTGGGAGTGAACCTGGGAATTTCCATTCACTTTTTTTTTTTTTTTGGTACATGCTCCTAGGGGGAACTGAACCCAGGATTCTCTGGTCCACAGGCCGACGCTCCAACTGCTGAGCCAAACTGGCCAGGGCCATTCACATTTTGAATGTGCAAATTGTGCAGTGTTTGAACTACAGTTGAATAGGATGCAACAGAGAAAAGACCATGGATCTTGAGGCTCTCTCATGATCCTACAGCTTGTAGGTCACCTTCTTGGAGAGGATGACAAGGATGTTCCCTGTTAGAGATCCTCTGAGGGAAAAGCAAGCAGGCTTCAAACAGCACATGGGGCATGATCACACTGTGCAGGACAGTTGGGGTGACAGCATGTGACAACACCCATACTCACGTGCACAGGATAATTCCATCCTTCAGACCCTTCTGAAAATCAGGACCAATAGACAGGCCGGTGAGTCCCTCGATCCAGCTGCGGAGTTCCGCCTCCTTCTGAGGATCATATTTGGACTGAAGCTGGAGGAGTAGAGGGCACAGGGTTGGGGTGAGAACATACCCAGCAGAAGTACTCTGATGCTCCTGATGGGGTGAGGCTGGTAGCTCCATGGGAAGAAGAGAGGTCTGGAGGATCCCACACTATGGAGCTGACCGTCCCCCTTTCCTATCAGCAGGGACACTCACAGGCACAGATAAACCACCCTCCACAGACACACTCCTATCTCTCACTGGCAAACTTTGGCTCTAATCCACTTCCAATGGTGCCAAACCCAACATGACAGCCAACACAGCCCCTGTAGATCTGTCCACCATCCTGTGACCTCTCATCTCCTTGCTCTACCTGCACTAGAGACAAATCCTTCTGTTTCCATTTCCTATCTTTGTGGATTTGCCTGTTCTGGACATTTCACAAAAATGGAATCACACACTTTGTGGTCTTTTGAGTCTGGCTTCTCTCACTGAGCATCATGTTTTCAAGGTCCATCCATCCATGTTGTAGTGAGTGTCAGTGTCTCATTCCTTTCCATGGCTGAGTAATATTCCATTGTATGAATGGACCACATTGTGTATCCATTTACCCAGTGATGGGCATTTAGACTATTTCCACCTCTTGGCCGTTGTGAATCCTCCTGCCGTGAATATCCGCGTACAGGTTTTCTTAAACACCTATTTTAATTCCTCTGGGTACATATCTAGAAGTGGAATTACTGGGTCATGTGGTGATTCTATTTAACTTACTGAGGGACCACCAAACCATTCTCTGTGTCTTGAACTGGCCATACCAGTTACTGGCTCAGGGCCTTTGCACATACTGTCACTTTTGCCTCAGATGTTTGCATGGCTGGGTCCCTGCCTTCCATCCAGTTACAGCTTGTAGGTCACCTTCTTGGAGAGGATTCCCCTGCCCACTCTAGCTATGACAGCCCACCTTGTACCCCTCTCTCCCTGATTGTGCCTTATTTTCCTTCTAGCTTTTATCTCTATCTTCTGTTACAATACAGCTTCTTGCTTATGATCCATCCCCCCTCGAGCTTTGCCATCCAGCTCAGTGCTGTCTCTGGGTAAAAGTGCTCCTGGTCTCCCATCAGCACACACCCATTGACCATAAGCACACCCAAACACCCTGTTCCCTGTGGCAGCATCTCAGAGCACTGAAGGCTAAGTCAGAATGGTTGGAGTCCACGGAAGCCCCTAGAAGACAGGGAGACCCAGGCGAATATGGGCAGAGTCGGTCAGCCCCAGGGCAGCTTGTTGGGGGTGCTAAAAAGCCGAGTCCAGCCCCCATTCAGGACCAGACTGTCCCACTGAATGCATTTTCTGCTCCAGACTCTCTGTGCACCTTTGCTCCCAGATCCCCACTTCGGAAGCCCCGTCTTTTCCTCTTCTCCCATCCCTCAGAAGACTAAAACATTTTGCAGACCTAATTCTTACTCCCGGCTTTGCCTCCAAATCCCCCATGACTATGAACAGTTCTCTTCCCTGTACCTCAGTTTTCCATCTATGTTTGGAATTGTTTGCATAGAGGTCTCCTGAAACTTGCCCCACCTCCCTGCCTCCTGGTGATTGCACATAGGATCACAGCTGAGCCACCCAGAACACAGACGAGACAAAGGCAGGAGGCTTGCCTGCTAACACGATCCGCTTGGCCCACCCCCTCAGGCTGCAGTCTCTTGGTTCTCATGGCCAGGGGAGTAGCCAGGCCCACATGAAGTTTTGTTCAGCCTGAGGAATGAGCAGGTCACGTCCTGATAGTTAAGCTTGAGGCAGGTGGGCTGGTCTGGATGCCAGGTATGCCTGCACAGCCAAGTCCTGTCCCTGATGGCTCAAAAAGGCCAGAATCCTAGGCAGAAGTGCCTGGCCCTCCCCACAGCAGCCTGAAGCATTCCTCATCACCGCAAACTGCCAGGAATGCAGCCACCGCCTCCTGCGAAATCTGCTAAATTGAGACCAGCTGTTCCCAATGCTCTAAAACCCAGTCACCCAGCCCCAAATCAAGTGGCCATGGCTGCTCAGAGGGACACACAGGACATCCGCCTGCCTCAGACTGTCCAGCTGCGGGTAAACTGAGGTACTGGAACCAGGCAGAGGTCTCTGGGTCTCTCCTGTCTAAAGCAGCTGGAAAAGTGGGCGGGGCATGGGCTCCAAGCCATAGGAAGTGGGCAGGAGTGACACTGGCAAGCTGATAGGTGCCCCGCTCACACTCCAAACCTGCAAATTGAGGCCTGACTTCGGGTAGCCTCTGACCTCATCTGCTGTGCAGGTATCAACCTGTCCCCATCTCACTCCATCTCTGGAAGCTAGTTGGCTCTCATCTACTTCTTGCTGCCCAGGGGTAAATGCCAGGTCCAGGAAGACCAGTGGCCATCAGGCATTGGATGCAACAGGTCTGGGTTCCAGTGTTGACTCTGCCACTTGCAAGCAGCTCTGAGCCCCGTGTGCAAACTGGGGCCCTTAAACAGCCTTGGCTGTGTGGGGGCAGCATGCTATGCACCTATACAGGCAGCCTGTCAACATTCAATGTTCACCCTGGAGGATTATTGCTGGAGGGAGATTCATGCATTTAAGGGGGTGTCTGGAGCCTGCTGAGTGACCATACTCTATCTCTTGGCTTCCTAAGCCTCAGCCTCCCCTTTTATCAATGGGATGGAGGGAGGCAATTCAGAATTCTCCCTCCTGTCCATAGGCCCTGGAGTGCCAACTGCAGGTGCCTGTCCTGTGCTGACTGGGCTGTGCCCTCAGCATGCCCAGGCAGGCTCCCTTCCCAACTGTCTGGTGGGAGGATGTTGGGGGAGAGGTGTACAGGAATGGCAAACCCCCCTCAGCTGGAAAGGCCCTTGTTTATCAGTCCTGAGACCTCCACCTGGGTCTGACATTACCCTCTGCTCCCTCTACCCTAGATGAGTCCTACTGTGTGACCGTCCAAAAGTGTCTGCCCCTCCCTGAGTCAGAATCACAAGAGTTTTTTTTTTTTAAGTGTCTCCCACTGGCCCCACCCTGTGTTTCCAGGTTACAAAACTCACACATTTTAGGGTCACATTCAGGGGACCCAGGTGTCCTGTGGACCCCTTTGCTGTTTCTTTGTCAGACAGAGACAAAGAGAACATACAAGGGAACAGCCCAGGCAGCCCTCCTCTACTTCAACTTCCCCTTGGTGTCTCCCTCCCAGGTGTAAGAGGTTGGGAAATTCCTGTGGGGGGTGCCCACACCCTAATTTTAAAAACAACACCTGGTCGGCCAGCTTCCCCTCCTATAGCATAAATGGCCCCAAAAGCAGAAGTTGGCCAGGGGATGAGGAGGGAGCTGCTGGGGTCCTCTCAGATTCAGGTTATTCTCAGGCCTTAAAGTGCTGGAAGGGTCCAGGGAGGGCTGTGGGGTTCAGATGGAGCAAGGCTGGGGAAGGGATCAGACCCAACCACTCCTAGACACTGAGGCAGTGCCAGATCGCAGACCTCAATGCTTCCCCCGAGTTGAGGAAGTCTCGGTGGGCGCCCCCAGAACCGCAGATGTCGGGGAGGAGGAGGGACGCTGTCATCCCATGTCTCAGAGCCACTGCGCCCCGGATGTCGGGGAGACTGGCGGGGCGCCCAGCCCAGCAGAAGTCCGAGGGTGCAGGACCTCCGGGGGCGGGACTGGGGGCGCCCCTCACTCACCCGGTTCTTGACCTCGGCCGAAAGCCCGTAGGAGGGCCCCTTGTTGAACTGCGTGGAGCTCATGCTGGCTGCAGAGACGGCTGGACCGACGGCAAGGAGGGTGCGGCTAGGGTCTCGCAGGTCCGGGCCCCGCCCCCGCCGCTGATTGGTCCCCGGCGCACTTGTCCTTATAAGGCCGTGATGCGCCGGATTCCTGCGGCCGCGGACTTCCTGAACCCGGTCTGTCGCCCTCACCCGGGCCCCTGCGGAGCGCCTCAAACCCAGGGGCCTGGAGGGAAACTGAGGCAGGGAGGAGCAGGGGCTTTGGACTGCCAAGGCATGGCACGCCTGCCCTCTCCCTGCTGGGGGCCCCTAAGTGGCTCTTACCCTTGCTGGGTCTCAGTTTCCCTTTCTGCACGGCGATGGAAGACGGGGAATTGTTGGGTGGGACCCTGATTCTCTTGGTGCACGAATGAGGACTCCTCCCTGCCACTCAGAGGCACCTCCCAGTTTAGCCCCATTCCAGGAACTCCCACAGCTGGGTGATGAACAAGGGAACTAGAGGAGTCCTCAGAGGAGGTGGTCATTGGAGCTGGAGCTCTGATGGATGAGTAGGAGTTTGCCAGTCCAAAAGGGATGGTGTTCCTGGCAGCACAAAAGGTGCAGGGACTGTCAGTGGCTGAAAGCGTGTAGAGATCAATCAGATAGATTGGGGAAGAGGGAATAAGAAAGGGGCTTCTGGTTGGTCGTGCGGGTGGCAGCCACTCGATGTGTCCCTTCACATCGATGTTTCTCTCTCTCTCTTCTTCTCTCTCCCTCCCACTCTATCTGAACAAAAAAAATAGAAAAATGTCCTCGGGTGAGGATGGAAAAAAAAAAAAGAAAGGGGCTTGAATTTTGGGCTGAGGAATGATGGGGGATGGGGGTGTCTGAAATAGCAGAGAGCTAAAGTGAGAAAATGCCCTGGGGTTAGGGCTGAGGATACCAAACCTACCAGGCCAGGTACACAGTTGGCACTCAATAGGCGATGCTGCTTGTATAGATAAATTAATGAATTAGTAAATAATGGAATAAATTTTACTTATTAAGCAATTTGTTCATTTATTCATTCATCAAAAGCTCCCTTACATGGCCCTGGTCAGTGTTGCTCAATGGTTAGAGCATTGACCCTCCCGCCAGAGAATTGTAGGTTTGATTTCTGGTCAAGGGCACCTACCTGGGTTGCAGGTTCAGTCCAGGCTTCGGTTGGGGTGCATACCGGAGGCAACCAATTGATGTGTCTCTCTCACATTAGTGTTTCACTCTCCTCTTTTTCTCTCTCCTCCCCTCTTCCTTCTACTCTCTAAAAATCAGTGGAAAAAATATCCCCAGGTGAGGATTTAAAAAAAAAAAAAAAGGTTCTCTGAGCCAGTCCCTTGCTAGGTGATGCTGGCTCCAGGAGACCTTGGCTCTGGCCCTGCCTATCCTTGGGAAGACAGAGCCAGGCACAGCATCCCCTGCCCCATGTGAGCAAGTACAGGACAGAAAAATGGGTCAGGGGTTGAGGAACCTGTAAGGGAAGACAGGGCTCCACTGGAGGGATCAAGGAAAGCTGCACATGAGAGGAGACATGAGATGGGGTTCTGAAGCATGTGTAGGAGTTTGACATATTTGACAAGTGGTTGGTTGGACTCTGTGAGGGCTCAGAGATGACATACTGCTGGCCCTTCCCTGAAAAGCACTCATTCCTGGCTCCCCTCTCAATGTCTGTTTCTCTGCTTGTCTGTCATTCCCCAATTCAATCTATCTGAAGACTCAAGGTTCAAGTCATAGCTGGGTGGTCTTGGGCAAGTCCCTTCCCTTTTGGGTCTCAGTTTCATTATCTTTGAAATGGGGACCAGTGGACAGTGGGAGGGTCAACAATGAGGCAATGCAGCTCTGAGTAAGGGAACAGTGCAGTTTCAGGTGGATCCTATGCAGGTTCTGTTAGAGCAGGAGGTGGGCTCCAAGGCACTGTGGCGACCAGTGATGGGAAGGGGGCTGAAGCCAGCCTGCAGTGGTCAGTGGCTGCTGGTAACATGGCCATGGATCTCCTTGCCATGCCCTGGCCTCTGGTGCTTGTCCAGCGGGCCACCAGTTACTCCCTAGGGACACCATTTGAGTTGGGGGTCTCTGAGAAGTTGCATGTGACCCCACCTATGCCCGCAGACTTGTGTCCAACTCATGTCAGCTCAGGCAGGCATACTCACAGGACAATAGCCCACCCAGATCCTGGGGTGCTGGGTCCCCCTGTAGCACTTCTATTAGGGAAGGCTGTGGTGCCTCCACAGCACTGGACAGGAGCTAAAACACAGAAACAAGAAGACGGAGACTGCATGGTTCCAAATTCCAGAACCACTCACTGCCTGCCTGCTTGCTGGACACCCGGGCAAGCCTTGCAACACCGCCCAGCCTCATTTCCCACCTGTGAAATGGTCTGGTTCCCAGGCATTAATATTCATCAGGTGCTCAGAAAAATTCCTGGGACACCTGGGATATTGTAAGTGCCACATAAGACTTGGGTAACTTAAATCCTGGCACTTAAACCAGTGCTGACCAACAGGACTGAGATGGCAGAGGTGCCCTACTAGGCACCGTCTACCTCGGCAGCCTCTGGCCACACAGCTACTGAGCACTTCAAGTGTAGCTGATTTTAATTAATTCCACTTTAAAATGAGAAACCGACACTGGATCAGTTTTGGAAAAACGTCTGAATCTATTTGAAACAACTTGAGAAGGAATGTGCGCATTTTCCTTTTCAGAGTAAATTTTATGAAATCTAGATACGAGTATTTCCCAGGCCATGTGACCATATGAATAGAGTTGGGCTGTGAGTGGGAAACACACCAGATTTTGAAGACATAGTCCAGAAAAAGGTGTCATATACCTTGTTCATTGTTTTTCATATCAATTACATGCTGAAATGATCTTTTTAAAAAATATTTTTCTTTATTGATTTTTAGAGAGAGAAGAAAGGAGAGAGATAGAGAAAGATCGATGAGAAAGATCAATTGGCCGCCTCCTGCATGCCCCGCACTGGGATTGGACCCACAACCTGGGCATGTGCCCTGACTGAGAATTGAACCAGTGACCTCTTGGTGCATGGGTAAGCGCTCAACTGCTGAGACACATCAGCTGGGCTGATCTTATTTTTGAGATATTGGGTTATGTGAAACATATTACCAAACTATTCTTGGTTCTTTGAACATGGTTACTAGAAAGTTGAAAATTATTTGTGTGGTTTGTCTGATATTTTTACTGGCCAGGGCTGTTCTGGACCCGTAGAGCAAATCCAGACTGCTTTTTTTTCTTTTCTTTTTTTTTGTAGCCCATTAGCAAACAATGGTTTTACATTTTTAAGTGGTTGAAAAGTTTCTTTTTTTATCCCCACCAGAGGACATTTTTGCATTTATCTTTAGATAGAGCAGGAAGGAGAGAGAGAGGAAGAGAGAGAAAGAAACATTGATGTGAAAGTGACACCTCAAGTGGTCGCCACCCACACGACCCCAACCAGGGCCGGGGACAAACTGCAACCGAGGTACGTGCCCTGAGCGGGAACCGAACACGGGACTCTCTGGTCTGCGGGCCAGCGCTCTAACTGCTAAGCCAAACTGGCCAGGGCGGTTGAAAAGTGTTTTTAGCCCTGGCCAGTTTGGCTCAGCGGTTAGAGCGTTGGCCCGCGGTCCGGAGAGACCCGGGTTCAGTTCCCGCTCAGGGCACGTACCTCGGTTGCAGTTTGTCCCTGGCCCTGGTTGGTCGTGCAGGTGGCAGCCACTCGATGTGTCCCTTTCACATCGATGTTTCTCTCTCTCTCTCTCCACCTCTCTTTCCCTCCCACTCTATCTGTACAAAAAATGGAAAAATGTCCTCGGGTGAGGATAAAAAAAAAAAAGAAAAGTGTTTTTTAAAAATACTATTACACGAAGCTTGGAAATCATAAAATATTTAAATTTCAGTATCCAAAGCTTTATTGGTGTCCAGCTCCTTGGCTTACTGATCATTAACTTTCAGCATTAACCATTAATGCAGGGCTGGGTGGTCTCTCGGCGGCAGAGCTACAAATGCTAGTTCTCAAGTGGCCTTTTACAGAAAACAGTTTGCCAACCCATGGTCTAGGCTCTGAGTCTCTCAGAACCCCAGAAATCCAAACTCAGACCTTGAAACCCTAGGGTTCCAGAAACTTAGAATATTTATAAACCCATACCTCAAAGATACTGTGAGGTAGGGTCCAAACCATCTTAAAGTGAATATCAAAATAAGGTGGGTTAAAACTTCTTAGCTGGTGGAGAGCTTTCCATTTGTAAAAATTGCAACACCTGTGAAACACAAGGTCGTGAAGCACAATAAAATGAGGTGTTCCCATAATTTGAAGACCTCTGCCCAAGGACCTCAGATTGATGGAATTACATGATTCTGTGTAGTTAGTTCTTCTACTTCACTGTCCCCACCTTGGAGCCTGGATTCAAATTATGACTGCCCACCTGGCTGTGTGACTTTCCACAATTACACTCCACCTCTCTGTGCCTCCCTCTACTCTCTGTAAAGCACCTACTGCCCTTAGGGCTGACATCTGTGGATCCATGCATGCAAACCCTAAAATAAGTGTTGTTGAGTCAACTGCATGTCAAAAATCTTTGGGCCCTGGCCGGTTTGGCTCAGCGGTTAGAGCGTCCGCCTGTGGTCCAGAGAGACCTGGGTTCGGTTCCGGCTAAGAGCACGTACCTCGGTTGTAGTTTGTCCCCGGGCCCTGGTTGGGTTGTGCGAGTGGCAGCCACTCGATGTGTCCCTTTCACGTCGATGTTTCTCTCTCTCTCTCTTCCTCTCTCTCCTTCCCACTCTATCTGAACAAAAAATGGAAAAATGTCCTCAAGTGAGGATAAAAGAAAAAGAAAAAAAAAATCTTTGGGACTTTGGCCTCAGCCAAGAGAACCTGGTAGGAAGGTCTTGAGCTTCTGGAGCTGCCCTGTGCCCTTGACCTTATGGCACTCACTGATCCATCCAGGCAGATCCTGGGGAGACTGTAGAGACTGGAGGACCTGGGGTTGCAGAGGCCTCAGGTGCTGGGTTGGGTCTGAGCCCAGGGGTCTTGGTGGCTGGGCACAGAGGACAACAGGGGCAGTGAGGGCACT